GTTTAAGGTTTAGGGTTTAGGTCGAGTAAGAGTTACCCCCCGACGACTGGAGCAAAAGGGGCACATCTCTTTTTGATGCTAGGGATTTGTGACCTCAGCTGCAAGCCATAAACCTCAAAACCCGCAAGCTCAAGCTGTACCGCTGCAAGTCTGAACCCTCAAACCTCAACCCAAAACATCAACCCAAGCCCCACACCCTAAACCCTAAACCCTAAATCCCTAAACCCCTAAACCCCTAAACCCTAAACCGTTAACCGTAGCCCTAAAGGGGTAGAGCTTAAGGGAACCCAAAACCCTAAACCTTAGCCCCAATTGTGTATAAGCTGAAGGCTCGACAAGACCGACCTTACAAGCCTTGCTCTGTGAGACTTCGGCGAATAAAGGGTTTAGGGTTTTGGGGGTTTTAGGGTTTAGGGTTTCGGGTGTGGGGGTTTTGGGGCTAAAGGTTTAGGGTTTCGGGTTTGGGGGTTTTGGGGTTCAGGGGTTTGGGGTTTACGGCTTCGGGTTTGGGGGCTTTGGGGTTGAGGGTTTAGGGTTTCGGGTTGGGGGGTTTTGGGGTTTTTTGGGTTTGGGGCTTACGGCTTCGGGTTTGGGGGTTTTGGGGTTTAGGGTTTGGGGTTGGCGTTTAGGGGTTTCGGGTTTGGGGGTTTGGGGGTTTTGGGTTTGGGGTTGGCGTTCAGGGGTTTCGGGTTTGGGGGTTTGGGGGTTTTGGGTTTGGGGGTTTTGGGGTTTAGGGTTTAGGGTTTCGGGTTTGGGGGCTTTGGGGTTTAGGGTTTAGGATTTCGGGGCTTTGGGGTTTAGGGTTTAGGATTTCGGGGCTTTGGGTTTGGGGGTTTGGGGGTTTTGGGGGTTTGGTGGTTTTGGGTTTCGGGTTTGAGGGTTTTGGGTTTGGGGTCTATAGGGTTTCCTGTTTAAGGCTAGAGTTTGAAACCCTAAACCCTAAACCCTAAACCTCTAGGCCATCCTAAACCCGATTAAACCCTAAAACCTAAACCCTAAACCATAAACCCTAAAACCTAAAACCTAAACGCTAAACCCTAGACCCTAAACCCTAAAACCTAAAACCTAAACCCTAAACCCTAAACCTAAACCCTGAACCCTTAACCCTAAACCCTCCTAAACCCTAAACCCTAAACCCTAAAACCTAAACCCTAAACCCTAAACTGTGGAGTTGGGCCAAGCATCGTCTGCGCCAGTACACAGAAGGAAGCCTCGCCTCCACCGGGGGCCTTGAACACTTAGGGTTTAGAATCTGTTTTCAAGGGTTTCGGTTTTAGGGTTCAGGGTTTAGGGTTTAGGGTTCAGGGTTTAGGGTTTAGGGTTTAGGGTTTAGGGTTTAGGGTTTAGGGTTTAGAATCTGTTTTCAAGGTTTACGGTTAGGGGTTCAGGGTTTATAGGGGGCATGCTATACAGGATGCTTTGAGGGAGTAGTAGAAGGGCCGTAATAATTAAGATATGTCTTGGGGTTTTCTATACCATACTTCCCATGACGAACCCCTAAAACAGCATGGGCAATTATGTGGGCCCCGATGTTTGACGTTCTGAGGGCAGACTTTGGCAAGCATCCGGGTTCCGAGTCACCCTAGACCCTAAACTGAAGCCCGGAATCGTAAACCCAACTTAAAGGATCATGGGACTTAGTAACTAAGGTTATTATTCGGGTAACTATACTTATAACTGCTTATAAGCCCAATTTGCCAATTAGGGCACTTACAACCATACTTGCTAAGTCCCATGATCCTCCAAGTACACCTTGAGCCCTGAATCGTAGAGCTCACAATCCTAGACATCAATCCCTCGACCCGAAGCCTGAAACCCGGGGTCGCAAGACCACATAAAGCATCCTGCGGCCGGAAGACAACCGGGGAGTTTCCGGGTACCTTATTTTGGGTCCTTCATAATAAGGATCCTACTATTTAGGGTATATACCTAAACCCTAAACCCTAAACCCTATATTAGGGTCCCCCCTACTTTCGGAAACATCCGGGCCTTGCTGTAGAGGCAGAAATCCCCCTGCTTGATGTCAGCACCTGAGATCACGGCTTCCGGATTGGTGTGGGACGGTGCGGCATGGCTTGGGCTTCCGGCCCTGCGGCTCCCGTGTTCTGCCTGAAATGGAGGAAGGAAGGAAGGAAGGAAGGAAGGAAGGAAGGAAGGAAGGGCGGAGGGAGGGAGGGAAGGGAGGGAGGGAGGAAGGAAGGCAGGAAGGAAGGCAGGAAGGAAGGAAGGAAGGACCCTAAACCCTACTCTGACGCCCTGAGATAGGGGGAAACAACAGAGCACAAGCTAGCAAACATGCAGCGATGGCACTCTTGTCTTGCAAACCCTTCTGCAGCCCTTAAGCCTGAGCCTACCAAACTCCTCAATTAGGGACTACGCCGAAGATCATACTAGGAACCCTGACATGACGCAAGGGATATCATGGGGCCTTGGAGACTGTGGGAATTGTAACCATTTCAGGCTAGTCTCACATGGTCGCCACCTCTTCCATGGTGTGATTGCAGCTTGGATGCCCTGAGGTGATGAAGCTGACAAGCTCCGCACGGAAAGATAATTTAGTATGTAAGGGCAGTCTACGGGGTACTGTACGGGTACTAGAAGGCTACTACACAACAAAGTGCTCTACAAGGCTATAATGATACGATAATGCTTAGAGTTTATGCTTCGCGTTGCCGTGGTTTTGGGGGCTCTTTATTGGAAATATAGTATAATATACCCCCAAGCCCTATTCTAATTGCTAAGGCCCTTTTGTAGGCTGCGATCAACAACCACCGAGAGCAGTGCTTCTAGCCGCGGGAGGGGTCGATTCAGACTGAACGACTATAGCAGGGTTTAGGGGCTTTTGGGCCTTTTGAGGGGCTTCCTTCTGTCTATGATGAGGGGTTGTTGGGCTTTGGCAGTACTATAGGGGCCTCAATAATTAGAATAGGGTTTGGGGGCCCACTATACTATAAATACAATAAGGAACACCAAAACCCTAAACCCTAAACCCACTATACTATTATAAGGAACCCCACAATGGTGCTGGTAAGCATTTAAGCCCCTATCGCACGCAGTGTTGCCACAATCCTTGTTCTGCGCTATTGAGTTTCAGCTTCAGTGGCATCGACCCTAAACTTCAAACACCCTTCAAAAGCCCTTCAAAAACACTTCAACAACCCTTAAACCCTTCAAAAACTCAAAAACCCTTCAAAAACACTTCGAAACCCTTCAAAAACCCTAAAGTCCTAAAGCCTAAGCCCCAAAGCGGGGGGGGGGCTCCTTTCGGTATCTCCGGCAGCAGGAAAAGAAATGCGTCGGCAAGCCTCCTTCGATTGGCTCGGACATCAGGGGGTCGTGGGTTTAAGCGAACTGCGCAAGGTTTATTGTAGGGGCCTTAACTATGGGGGTTCCTTATCATAATTATAGTATAATATACCCCCAAACCCTATTCTAATTAATAAGGCCCCTATAGTAGGGCCTAGGGTTTAGGGCTTATCAGGGCTGCGGATGTTGAGGGCTGTAAGCGTTCAAGGATTCTTGGATTTTGTTCTTCGTCTCAGCCCTTGTGAGTGCTGCAGGACTTGAAGTCCATACCCCCAGGAACCCCAAGAAGGGTTTAGGGTTTAGGGTTTAGGGTTTTAGGGTTTAGGGTTTAGGGTTTAGGGTTTAGGGCTTAGGGAACCTAAAGTGTGTTGTTAAAACACCCTTGAACCCAAATTCAAAAGGGTCTCGGGTTTAGGGTCTACGGCTTAGGGACTGGACCCCGCAGACGGTTGCATGGCTTTCCTGGACACTCCCGTGCACTCCTGTTTTTGGGGCATAGCGCAGTCCTAGCAAGAAACTTGTACAAATCCAAGAAAGACAGAGCAATGGGAATAAGGCTCTAAACGGTCCCTAGAAGAAAATGTGAGAAAGAGAGGCGGTCGCAGGGTGCATGTCGACTCAAGCCGCAACTCATCAAACCACACACGAAAGTGGCCTTAATAATTAGAATAGGGCTTTGGGGCCCGTTATACTGCAATTAAAACAAGGAACCCCCAAAATAGCATAGGTAATTATTAAGACCTCCCCTTGAGGAAACTGCAATGCCAAGATTCCCAACCGTTCTCTCCGAATAGTCCCGTAAATAACTCATAAACCCTGGCCCTGGCCCCTGTCGGGTTTAGGGTTTTGAGTTTCGGGTTTAGGGTTCAGGGTTCAGGGTTCGGGCTTAGAGTTTAGGGTTTAGGGCGTAGAGTTTAGGGCTTAGAGCTTAGGCCTTACCCAGCTCGGAGACCCCGCCAGGCCTGCCCAAGCCCGTGCTGTTCAGGGGCTCGCCCTCTTGGGCGGCGAGCAAGCCTCTGAAGAGCTGCTCCCTAAACCCTAAGGTTTAGGGGTTTAGGGGTTTAGGGTTTAGGGTTTAGGGTTTAGGGTTTAGGGTTTAGGCTTTAGGGTTTAGGCTGTAGGGTTCAGGCTTTAGGCTTTAGGCTTTGGGGTTTAGGCTT